GCAGAAAAAAACATAAACGTAAGAATATTCAAAACATTTCAATAAAGAAAGTATTTCTTGTAGCAGAGAAGAATGGGTTAGTAACCTGGACCCTGAAGGAAAAAAGTCAGAAACACAACTCTACTAATGAGTCCCAAAGTTTGGAGGTAAAGCCAGTGTCCACCTGACACCTCCTGCAAAGCACAAAGGGTAATCAGGGTTACTGCTGCCCCAGGAAACAACCACTTCGGGACCCTCTGGGACTGCTCCCCTTGGATCATACTTGCTACCAGTTCTGATCCGCTCAATGCCATCCTTCCACCGGAGACCTCGAAAAGGCTGTGGGAACTCAAAAGTGGAGTCATTCTGTTCTCCCCCCTGAGGGCACATGCTGAGGGCTGGAGTGGGGCTGGGTGGCAAAGCGCCAGTCTGGCATGCACAAGGCCCTGGGTTCCATTCCAGTACCACAAAAGAGACCGAAAAACCCTTAAAAAAAAAAAAAAAGTATGCCTTAATCCTCAGATACGAGCCTTCTGAGTAGCTTATGAACCAATACCTTTTCTTCCAAGTCCAACTGAAATAGGTACAAACAACAAAGCAAATCAAAATAAAATGCTGGCAACTTTTCAATGTGATGTATCAGAATTTAGGTCTTTGGGTCAAAAATAATTTATACTACTGATAACCAAATCTCTTAACTTCAAATGGTCATTGCCTGGCACTGTCAGATACATTTTCACAGAACTAAAAATGTCATTATTTCAGTGACAAGTGATTGAAAATTACTAAGCAAATACAGTACCAACTACCCACAGACTCATTCACATAGTAAAAACACTTTGCTATTCAACTAAAATTTTCTGCTTTTAAAAATCCTACCTGAGCACAATGATTTTCTTACAATTACACAATCTCTTTCAGTAAAAGACAGACGACCTGGCATCCACATCTACTTTTTACATACAGAAGCTGCAGAAAGACAACACAAGTCTAGCACTGAGTCAAAGTGGTACCTCATGGTGTCTGTGGAATTGGACCAGCCTCAGATCACACCCTGGCAGAAGCTGGGCAACGTTTTGAACCACCTGGCTGTGACCTCATGTTGATGACCTCACAAACAGGAATTCTGATGATAGTCCACATACAAGCTACTCTTCACTTTAAAGAGGAACCCGAGGATCTGTACCCCTGAACCTGGAGCTGCCGACCCAAGCAATGAACCTTCTTCCAGGACTTTATCCTACCACCATCATCTCCACTGCTGAGCAGGTGAGCAGAGAAAAGCGCAGGCACCTAGGAGTCTGCTCAGCACCCAGAACCCCAGCAGGGAGGCTTCGAGTTTGCAAGCTGCTATTTTGGTTCAGCTTCAACACTTTTTCTTTCCCTCTTAGAAAACTAAGCTTATTGAACAATTCTGAAAACTGAGTAAACTAAACTATAAACTTAAAATGTTGTCCTGACCCTACCACTCTAACAGAGCACTAATTCACCACCACCAATAGTTTACTCTACTTACCATGAAAAATGAGGATTAAGATTTGTCAATTGGGCTGGGGTTGTAGCTAGAGCACTTGGCCTGGCATGTGTGAAGCACTGGGTTCAATTCTCAGAACCACATATAAATAAATAAAGATCCATCAACAGTCTGGGGCTCAGAGGTAGAGTGCTTGCCTAGCATGTGTAAGGCACTGGGTTCAATCCTCAGCACCATATAAAATACATTGTGTCCACCTATAACTTAAAAAAATTTTTTTAATGTATAAATTGGACACAATGGCACACGCCTATAATCCCAGTGACTTTGGGGCTAAGGTAGGAGAATCCCAAGTTCAAGGCCAGCCTCAGCAACCTAGGAAGACCCTGCTTCAAAAAAGGGGGGGGAGGGTGTGCTGGTGATGTAGCTCAGACTTTAAGCATCCCTGAGTTCATTCAACAGTACCAAAAAAATTAAAAAAGGACTGTGAATGGTAGTCTAAGTGATAGAGCACCCTAAGTGATAGAGCACCCGGGGTTCAATCTCCAGTACCACAAAAATATAAAAAATGAAAAGAGCTAGGGATATTGCTCAGTGGTAGAATGCCACTGGATTCAAGCCCTAGTACAGAAAGAAAAAAATCTTCAGTTGTAAGGAACTAAGGGTTACTAATAATTATCTCCAGTTGATGGGACTATTTGTAGTGTTTGTACCTTGGTGTTTTCTTGGGTCTTGAATTTTATTTAATGAACAGATAAAATTAATTTCATAAGGAGGAAAAAAATATGATAATTTCTGGGCCACTATACAATGGCTTCCTCAGGGAGGTATGGTAAGGACCTCTCCACCCAGGATGCAAACATATCATGGCAAAGCAGGCACCCAGGCCTGTGGTTCCTTCTGTTCCTGTGGCAGTTCAGACCCGCCCCAACAGAATGAGAAACTCACAAGCAGCATGAGCACTATGCTACATCTAGGCCCAGCCCACGCCCACAGGCAAGCCCCCACACCTCTTCCTCCCAGTGGCTTAATGAGACTCTCCCAGCATCCAGCAAGCAAGTGCTGAGGATGGCAGGATCCTAGGATGGGAGGTCTACAGCTCTGAATCATCATCCCCATTTCTCTTGGTCTGTCCCAGAACTAAAAATAAGCTTATCAGTTCAAGTTACTAAAATTAGTGGGGCTATTTGTTATAGCACCTTGCTCATCTTACCTAATACAGTGGTAAAGAGCACTTCGGTTAGAGCTTTCAGATCATCCTAAGTATACGACTCAAAGACATTAATTTTTAGGATAAGCATCCTCAAAATCCTCAGAGATAGAATTGTTTCATACCACAAAAAGCATAATAGTATGAATAATAAATCAAAGTACTCAATTTTCCTAAAAGCAAAAAGACATTTTACTGGCAATAGCAAAATACATTTGAAAAACATGGGAGTTTGATTATCATGCACTAAAATATTAAGACAGACTGATGATAGACCAAATACAAGTTGCGGATGGTGTTATTTTCTCTACTTCTGCACGTCTGAAACTTTCCACAATTAAGAGGTTTTTTAATTATAGATGATACATACTTTAGTAAAATCCAAACTCTTACATTCTACTGGACCCATGACACCCTTAGAAAAGTTTTAAGAAATTTACGTAAAGAGGAGGCTCCTCAGAACAAGTAGGTCACAAAAACAAGCAAGGAGGACTAAGTTCTGCTCAAAACAAACAGCATTCTTCTTAATTCTTCCCTAATTTTTTTCTTCATTTTTTTTTCTTATCTGATTTCTTATCTACTTTTTTAATCATGGATTTAAAAAAAAAAGTTAAAAAAAAAAAAAGACAGCTAGCCTGGAAAATGAGACATCTGCATTTTGTCCCAGCTGATGATCTTAAATTCATTTAACCTGTTTCCAGACCAGAGGGTTCTCATTTACAGCCTGAGGATATCAATCCATCAAGATCAGCTTCTAACTTCATCTTGTGTGATTCTACTAACCAGAAAGTGAAAGGGAAGGGATCCAAAAGTGAAAGCGACTGTGGCTCTAACTTTGCCAAAGTAAAAATAACCAGCCACCAATGGAGGAACCCAAATCTGATTAAGGCCATCCAGAGCACAGGTAGGACCCTGCCCTGCCCTGGGCAAATCACACTTCTGCACATCAGCTCAGACCTTTGTGGAGGGTTCTACTTCTCCTCAGCAAAATGAAAACACTAAATCTTGAAATCCTGTAGAAAGCAGAGGAGAGTTGAAGGATTTGCAATGAATTTAACCTGCCAGGAGAGGGAGTTTAACACCATGTTTCCAGAACGCTGCACCTGGAAGCCCCAGGTTTCAACTCGGCCCTACTGGACAACCTAAAGGAAATTGAGCACCAGACAGGTTCAGTGACTTACCTAGAAATTGCTGCACTGAGAGCGCCCTTCTTCTACAAGAGGATACGCCATGAACCAGGGAAAGTTCTGAGAGCAATGGGGGTCTAGTTTGAGAAAAAGACGATCCTGGTGCTGATTTTCTAGTCAAACTTGAGAGAAAAATTGAAATGCTGTGTTCTAATATCATCTCACTGGGCTTGGGAGGTTCATTCACAGCTTAATCCTGTCCGCTGAAGTCATGGTTATGTAAGTGTCTGTTGGATGCTGTGTCACTTGCTGTCCCCTGCCCCCAACACAGGAGCTGCAGTGTAATCTGAGCTGCTGTCTCAAGCCACTGAAAACACACCATACTGGGTAGGATTCCAAAGTGACTGGTTTCCACTAAAGGCAAGTTAGTTTTTTCTTCTGTCTGATTCACAGTCATAGTTCTGTGTATATACAGGAAAGTCAAAACTGACAGACACTGTCATATTTTCTTCAATTCCTGAACAAAGGAAGGTCAAGTATTTCAACTTAACAGCCAACTATCAAAATCTAATCTAATCTAAGGGCTGGGGTTGTGGCTCAGTGGTAGAGTGCTCCCCTAGTATGGGTGAGGCCCTGGGTTCTATCCTCAGCACTACATAAAGATAAAGAAACATAAACAAATAAGCCTGTAGTCTGCTTGGGGCCAATTTTAAAACATCTCCTCTCCTAGCTGAGTGGACCTAGGGCCAGCAGATAGGAAACACAGTCAGGCCTATCTTCCACGTGGGTGACCAAGTCCCATCCTCTGCTGCCCCATGCAGAACATCCCCATGCAAGGTTTTCAAGGGGACACAGGAAATGACTAAAGAATACAAGGAGACACAGCCCACAGCCTCAGTCTCTTCTGACTACCCTTCCTGCCGCTCTCTTCCTTCTCTGGACTGCTGCTCTCTTCCTTCTCTGGACTGCTCGGCCACTGCGCAGTTTTCTGTTGTTGAGAGATGAATCACAGGCTCTCCTGTTTGCATATCATGCTATGACTAAGTGCCTGTGGCCAGCGATGAGATGTGACTTGTCTTGGCATATAAGACAAGAGCCAAAAAGAGAGTATTTAGACCACGGGAAGAGTTCGAAAAGGTTCTAAACTGATTCAGCATCTAAATAAGAACTCAAGGGGCTGGGGATGTGGCTCAAGTGGTAGCGCGCTCACCTGGTACGCGTGCGGCCCGGGTTCGATCCTCAGCACCACATACAAACAAAGATGTTGTGTCTGCCAAAAACTACAAAATAAATATTTAAAATAAATAAATAAATAAGAACTCAAAATGATGCCAAATGTTGCAATTTTCAAGTAAAGGAACCTAACCCACTGAGCACCTGATAAAGACAGCAGCATTACAGGGTTTCCCAAACCTGAAGCCTCTTTTAAAAAGTAGGCCAATGAAACTATAAGCAAACTGTTCAATTACTACCTCCAAAAGAACTGTCAGTCTCAATCAGGCACAGAGGTGCATGCCTGTAATGCCAGACACTCAGGAGGCTAAGCCAGGAGGATTAGAAGCTCAAGACCAATCAAGGAAAAATAGTGAGAAATTATCTCACAATAAAATTTAAAAAGGGTTGGGGATATAGCTTAGTGGTAAAGCACTAGTCCAGCATGCATGAGGCCCTGGATTCAATACTCAGTGCCTAAAAAAAAAAAAGTTAAGTCTCAGATTCCATGATTACATTTGTTGACATTGCTATACTTTCTAGAGCACTGTCCAATAGAAATATAACATGAGTCTATAGCCATTCCACCTTGAATGTACTTGATCTCCCCAATCTCAGAAGCAAAGCAGGATTGAGTCTGGTTGATACTTGGATGGGAGAAGTATAATGTGAGACAGAAGATTCAAAATTACTCATTTAACAACAATATTTTTAAAAATTAAAAAGAAACAGGTGAGCCAGACATGGTGACACACGCTTGTAATTCCAGAAGCTCAGGAGGCTAAGAGGAGGATCATGAGTTCAAAAGCCAGCCTCAGCAACGGTGAAGGGGCTGAGCAACTCAGTGAGACTGTCTCTAAATAAAATACAAAAAAGGGCTGGGGAAAGCTGGGGTTGTGGCTCAGGGGTAGAGTGCTTGCCTGGCATGCGTGGGGCTCTGGGTTCGATCCTCAGCACCACATAAATATAAAAAATGGAGAGATATTGAGTCCACCTAAAACTAAAAAGTAAATATTAAAAAAAAAAGGGCTGAGGATGTAGCTCAGTGGTTGAGTGCCCCTGAGTTCAATCCCCAGTACCCCCCCAAAAAAAAGAAACAGGTGAAATTAATTTTAATAATGTTATTTAACCTAATCTATTATTTCAAATGTAATCAATATAAATTAACAATAATTTACATTCTTTTTACTGTGTAGGGACTGGGTTGTGGCTCAGTGGTAGAGTACTTGCCTAGCATGTGTGAGGCACTGGGTTCAATTCTCAGCACCATATTAAAAAAAATAAAAATATTATGTCCACCTACAACTAAAGAATTAAAAAAATCTACTGTGTATTTCATACTTACAGCACATCTCAATTTGGACTCACCACATTTCAAATACTCAAAAGATTCATGAGGCTTGTGGTCCACTGAATTGTACAACAAAGACCTAGAAAATTGTGTGTGTGTGTCTCCCCAGTACTGGGGATCCAACCCAGGCAGGCACTCTACCACTAAGCCATACCCAACCTCTAGAATATACATTTAAAGCAGAAAATAAAAGCAGTTCCCCTCTTGGCATCAATAACAGCAATGCCAACCAGTCCAAGTCCCCTTGGGGATGTGACATTTGTCTTTCACACACCATTATACATACACGTGAGGGAAAGGGCAGAGGAATGAAAACTCTCAAATATATAAAACATGAATAATTGTTCTTAGGATTAAAAATGGGGGGAAAGGTACTCATAATAGGAGGAACTCTGATGTCTCTGTTTGACAGGTGGCACACAATGAATAAGAAGCCCTGCAAACAGCACAAGGCACTGCCCAGTGAAACTGAGAGCTCAGCACTAACAGTCTGAAAACACACCCACACAAAACTCAAGGCAAAACAGAGACCAAGTTATAGATGAAAAATGTAATGCTGGGGCTCAGTGGTAGAGTGCTCGCCTAGCATGCGTGAAACGCCATTCTGTCTATCTACAACTTAAAAAAAAAAAAATTTTTTAATTTAATGCACCAGGAGGCAGCACCTCAAGTACCAGGAGCAGAATGAGCACTACCACACTGAGGCCAAATCCTGCTTGGCTGTGTCTATCTTTCTGAGTGCAGGAAACCACGCGCGTGAGAATATGTGGAAAAGACAGGCTTGGGGTCTACAGGGGAAGGTGTGAAGGATGTGGCTGCAGGGCCAATTATTTACCTCTCACTAATGTGGTATCCACACCCCCCAAACTTCGGTAAGTTGCCTTTGATTTAGAAATAGTCTACCAGCTATCATTTAAAATGTAAGATCCAGCCAGGCAGGATGGCGCACGCCTGTAATCCCAGAGACTCCGGAGGTTGCAGCAGGAGGATCACAAGTTAGTTAGAGATCAGCCTCAGCAACTTCAGGAGGCCCTAAGCAACTTAGCAAGACCCATCTCAAAATAAATAAATAAAAAGAGCTGGGGATGGGGCTTAGTGGTTAACTATCCTTGGGTTCAATATCTGGTACCTAATAATAATAATAATAATAAATAAACAAGTAAAATGTAAGATCCAGGGGCCAGGGAGTGTAACTACTTGTTTTGAACTGGAACTGAACCCAGGGCCTCCCCTAAGCCAGGCAAACACTCTACCACTGAGCTACATCCGCAGCCCTTTGAGACAGGGTCTTGATTAACTACCCAGGCTGGCCTCAAATTCACAATCCCCCCCCCATGTCAGCCTCCCAAATAGCTGAATTATAGGCTTGTGCCATCAGTATAACTGCTTCATTGTCCCAATTTCTATTTAACATCTGGAAACTTGTTAGTCTTCCAAATGAAGATACAGAACACTCCCCGTGCAGTGAACACGTAAGTAAGAGTAGCCAAATGACATGGTAACACTGTGTGACTGAGCAGAGTGTCTGCCACAACAGTAATCCTATGAGCCAGAAGGTAAAGGCAGAAATGTAGAGGCGGGAGCACCCACTCTGGAGGATCTGGAGAATGCTTCCAAGTGATCAGCCAGTGAGAACGGATGGCAGGTGACGACGTAAAGCCATCTTAGCACATCTTTGCTCTGACCTCTCAGAAGCCTGCCCCTAAAACAAGGGAGATCGTGTGTGATGTCACCAAAGGCAGGTTAGGGCCTGGGGCCACTATAGAGCCACTGCTTCTAGTCAGTGTCACAGTGAGTAAGCCCAGCTAGAGAAAAGTCATGACACTGAGCACAGAGCGCTCTGGCTTCAGCAACATCCAGGAGGCTGCATGAAGGATTGAGGTTGCATCTACCACTGTGGGACAAAGGGACACTGCAAACTGCCCCATTTCTTTATCCCTGCATCTCTAGCAAGAATATCACAAAGGAAAGTTACAGCCCCGTCAGAAACAAGCACACCCAAGGAGGGAAAGAAAACCACGTCCCAAAGTAGAGAGAAGCCACCTCCCCGGAGTGGCTCTCCCACAGGAGCATGCCTGACAGGTGAAGCAGCCTCTCTAGGTGGTTCAGGAAACACAGAAAGCTGAACAATTTCAGAGAATCTGGGTACAATGATGTTGTTAATAAACATCATGAAATACTGACATAGCAAGGTCTAAAATTTCTAAGTATATAGTCACGGAGCTAAGACTTGAAAAAATGAACCAGAACTCCTACACAAAGTGAAAAATGAAATTAAGAAAACCACTGTTGTGTCAACATACCTTATATATAATCAGAGATATGATAAATTATGGTATAATGGTATATTAAGAATTGTAATGCAAAAATTTTTTAAAAAAGGAAAGAAAAAAAGAAAACCACTGTTCACTATTTAACTTTTTATACGAAGTGAAAATAGCAAGTTCTTGGTCTAGTTTGAAGAGGACCACCAAAGACCACCTGGCAAGAGAATGCTATAAGGATGGGAAGTTGCAAGGTTGAACAAGTTATCCTTCAACCACTTTTTTGTTTTGCTTTTGTTTGGTTGTTTCTTGGGGGGAAGGGTTGAATTCAGGGGCACTCTACCACTGAGCCACATCCCCAGTCCTTTATTATAATTTTTATTCTGAGACAGGGTCATACTAAGTTTTTGAAGCAGGCCTCAGTTCCTGGGATTACAGGCATGCATCACTGCATCGGCTCCTTTAGCCAATTTTTTTTTTTTTTTTAAGAGAGAGAGAGAGAGAGAGAATTTTAATATTTATTTTTTAGTTCTGGGCGGACACAACATCTTAGTTTGTATGTGGTGCTGAGGATCGAACCCGGGCCGTACACATGCCAGGCGAACGCACTACCGCTTGAGCCACATCCCCAGCCCATCCTTTAGCCAATTTTGATAAATTTACAGTTAACCCACAAGCTGAAGCCAGAGCTGGTAACTATGTTGTATAGTGCTAAATTTATACATATCAGATATTATTCTAAATCATGGCACAAAATAACAGGAGGGAAAAGGAGACATGGAGATGCATAGAAAACTAAAATGGTAAGATTACCATTTTAACTAAGTCCCTTAAAAGGAACTGAAATTACTAGGCCTAGCTGTATCTCCAAGAGCACAAGTTGCTTTTCCATGCTGAATATTTAACTCCTCATAAAATTACAAGTTCTTCTGACAACTGTTCATTAAAAATGTGCCCTTCAATAATGGCAAAACACTCCTACTCATATTAACTTTTTTCCCAATGGAAAAAATCTCACCAACTTAACCATGTGTCCCATGCCCATACTTCCACCCAGTTCCACTAGCTCCCCCTGGATTAACCCTATCTTTACCACATTCACTTGGGCCAACTCTGAAGAGCCAGGTGTCAGAGCACTTACAGCTAGCCTCAGGAACACGGTACTCATTGTCTTGAGGGGGATATCCTTATTAACTTGTGATCAGCATGCCTTTCACAGGGTAGGTTACTGAAATGTTTACTCAACAGTCTGTCCTTCTGTATTCCACTGTCAAGACTATTCATAGACACTGATACTTCATCAGTCATCTCCAGCCTTTGTGTAACCCCTCGGAGTGTCCTGTCACATGTCATGGATACCTTTGCTGTTATCACCATGGACTCATAAGCAAAGCAGTCACTGAAATAGCAGAGTCAAAAAAAGTTAGTATGAGCTGGCACACACCTATAATCT